GATCTTGGGCACGCACGCACACGTGCCCGGTGTGAGTTTAATCCACCGGGTCTGGGACTCGAACCGCGATCAACTATGTGGGAGTCCAGCGACATAGCCGTTACTCTAACTGCTGGTCCCCTGTCCTGTTCCCCAGTCACTCGTGGGGGTCTCAACCTAATGACCTAATCCTAATCTTTTCCCAAAGGCCTTGCATGTCAACACCATAGCTAGATTAATTTTCTACCCTCTTAATCCTGACACAATGGGAACCAAATCTCAACACATGAGTTTCAGGGAGACAACATTCAAACCATTGTAATCACTCATCACAAAAAAAGCACCTTCTATGCTTCAGGTGCCAACACAGGTAAAGCAAGAGAACCTGGTGGCCTTTTTTTCATGGTATTTAAAGCGGTTCTGGGGATTATATTTCCAAAAATAAAATTTTAGAAGCAAAGGATATGTCAGCTCTGTAAATTTAATTAAATAGCCCCAGATTGTTTTAAAGAAAAATAGAATCAGTTTGACATATGCCAATTGGATAAACACATCTGTGTTACCTTGCAGCCTGATCAACATTGGAATGGAAAAGCATTTACCTCGTCCTTGTTGCTGTTGACTACCCCCTGACTGTCTCGAGTTTAGTCCTGTTCCTTTGTGCATCAGCATGGTTGGGTCTGGTCCATGGAAGGGGATACCATGACCACACCTTGTGTGTTTCCATTACTGGCCTGTGAGGTTCTACTGAGTCCCGTGTTTACAGCACTTTACTCTACCACAGTTAAATTCTGGAGGAGGGAAGGATCTTCAGCCTGTTCTTTACAAGAACCTTTGGAGGAAGTACCCTCAATCCTGCCTTTTTGGTCCTAGTTTCTTAACCCATTTGACCATGAGATGTTAGGACAGTTTTCTTTCTAGGCCTCATGGGCTCTAATAGATTTTCCAAGACGTGTTCTTGTGCAAAGCCTTCGTCTTCAAATAATCATCCTACTCACCTTTGTGTGACTTTCCTAAAAGTGTAACTCTGTGTGACTCTGGACCAAATCTGTGAGGAGCATACTTGTTTGAAAATAAGAGTTTTAAGTTTCTACCTCAGATTTGTGGAATCAGAATCCTAAAAGTGGGGTCTGGGTTTCTTTTTAATGAGCTTTCCAAGTGGTTGGTTTCATTGCAGATTAAATGAGTCAATGTGGCCATAAGGCAGGAAGAGGTGCTTTCAAACATTCCTGGTCTTCCATTTAAGGCTGGCAGTAGAAGGTTCGTAAGGATAGCGGTGGGTTGGCAGGCGCCAGGCCAAGGGCTCTGTAGTTAACGGAAGTGAAGACAGAGAAGCCATGGGAAAAAGAGGCTATCTCTGAGATAGTCTGAGATTGAGCACCTGGTCTGGAACTTGAGGGAGATGCTCCCTGCAGTGATTTCTGATACCAACTATGTGGAGTTGCTCTAAACTCTGAGGATTTAGGGTACAATCTGCTATGAGACCGTCTCCCTTCAGATACCAGCTGGAAAACTGGTAGTCCCCAAACCACCCTCACTTCTAACCAACTGCCTACAAGTTCAGAGCTTCCCATAACCATCAGGTTCCATAACTTTCCAGAATGACTCACAGAATTTAGAAAAGTGCTATATGGCAGGTCTTCAAGCAGTTCATGAAAAAAATATGTATTATGAAAAAACTATATATGGATTTCAAAATTTTTTGCACTTAAAGAAATTAAGACTTACATTTCCCCCCCCACAAATTTTCTGGAATTTACAATTACAGTTTTACTGTAGTAAATGGATATCAGTTGGAACCCGTGAAGGGGGAGTCACATAAGGTGATGTCTAGGAAGGTCCTACAAGCTCTCTTGTCCTGTCCCTATTGTCACTTTTCTGACGTAAATGTGTGTGGTAATTCTCAGTTTTGCTGACTAAGAAGGCTCATCCCAGCTTTGGGGTAGAGTTTTTATTGGGGTTTCGTTCTGTAGATGTGATTGATTGGCTCATGGGCTATGAGATTGATCTCAATCTCCACACTCACCCCCCCAACCCCATTTTGGAGGTTGAGCTGATATCACTTGGCTCGAAGCCCATCCTTCTCATTACATGGTTGGTCTCTGGAGACCAGCCCTACCTAGCCTGAGTCATCTATTAGCATAAACTATCAAGGACCCACTCTGAGTCACCTTGTTAGCATAAACATCAGGCCCACATTCTTATTACTTGGAAAATTCCAAAGATTTAGAGGAACCAGGGGCAAAAGGTAGTCAAATTCTTGATTCCACAGGTTTTAGAGGCTTTCTTCCAGAACCAGGGACAAAGGTTAACCAGATTCTTAAATAAATTCCTTTCCTCCTACACTGCACCCTCCATTTCCCTTTTACTTTTTTTTGGGGTGGGGTGGGGAGGGATTTCTGCTATAGGGCGTGTGTGCTCACCAGAGAGACAGAGAGACAGAAAGCGAGAAATCACTCCCCAGGGGGAAGGCTACTCGGCAATCCCCTCTCCTCCATTCTCCTCTCGGGATCTTGGGGGCACGCACACACACGTGCCCGGCGTGAGTTTAAGCCACCAGCTCTGAAACTTGGACTGTGGTCGGCTACATGGGTGTCAAATGACATAGCCATTGTGCCAATTGCTGGTCCCTTCCCTCTATCTTGGATCTAGTTTGACTTTGTAATACTTCAAGGGGTTAGCCATTTGTCTCTGACCATATTTGTTAAACACTTTCCTGCTTTCTTATTTTTGTATTTTACCATGTTAACATTTCATGTTTATATTTTGAATTCTGTGATTTTCTTTTTCCTTGAGCAGAGTCATACTTGGAAATTAATACATAGGGTTTTGATCATTATCTTTGAAATGTTTTAAAATCTGGTAGTGTCTTTTAATTTCCTTATTTCAAGTGATTTCAGTCTGACAGAGAAGTCGCAAGAGTAGTACAGAGAATTCCTGTATACTCTCCATTCAGAGTCTAATGTTAATTTTCTACCGTAGCTGTCATTCTCTCTTACCCTATTTACACAACTTTTTCTGGTTTGAACTAACTGAAAGTAGGTTGTAGACATAAGAATTCCTATACATTTTTTTTTTTTTGAGAGATTTTCACTGTAGGGCGCGTGCGCTTGCCAGACAGACAGAGAGAGACATAGAGACAGAAAGCAAGAAATCATCCCCCAGGGGGGATGGTCACACTGCAATCCCTTCTCCTCCATGCGCCTCTCGGGATCTTGGGCATGCACGCACACGCGCCCAGCGTGAGTTTTAAGCCACCGGGTCCGGGACACGAACCACGGGCGACTATGTGGGAGTCCAGTGACATAGCCATTACGCTAACTGCTGGTTCCCAAGAATTCCTATATATTTCAGGGCATATTTCTTAAATACAAAGACACTCTCCTGCATAGTCTTAGAACCCACCAAAACCCAGAAATTAATCCTTAAACTCCTAGGCCCAGGAATATGTTCTATTAGTAGTTATATTATCTCTTCAGTCTAGAAAAGTTCTGTAGTCTTTTCACGTTTCTTATGTCTTTTGTATTTTTGAAGACTATGTAGGTTATTACTTTCCAGAATGTGCTTTAATTTGAGTTTATCTGATGTTTCCTCATAGCAGAAATATCACAGAAGTAAATGCTGTACTCTCAGTATCTGGAAACCCACCATGTCTACTTGTCCTGTTACAGTGATGGTGATTTTATCACTGGGTTAAGGTGGTGTCTCCTATAGTTTTTACTTCTGAAGTTAATGACTGAATTATTTTTAGTATGATTATTTTTATTGTCAGACAGTATATGTAAATACAAGACACAGAAGCAGAGACAGAGAAAGAGGGGGAAAACACCTCCCAGTGGGGTATGGTCATGCCGCAATCCCCTTTCCTCCATTTCTCCAGCCTGTTGAGATTTGGGGCATGCACACAAAGGCACCCAGTATGTTTTTCAAACCACTGAAGCAGGTATTCTTAGCTGTGCGGTCAGCTATGTGGGATCTTGCTCTGTTACCCAGTAGGTCTTGGGGCTGGACCTATATTTTATATTTTGAATATATTCTGCAGGGTTGGAGGGGATAGTTTGGGGCTATGAAAATACCATTTCCTATAAAACTTTTACCAACTAATTTTAGCATCCATGAACGTTTTTTTTTTTTCCTGACTCAGTTATTCCTATGAAAGTTAACAAATGGTGATTAGTCTGATTCCATTATTGATTCTGTACTTAATCAGCTAACATGCTATGGTAAGAAAGAATTTTTCCTTCTTTCCCATTTATTTATTTACTCATTTACGAATAGCAATGAAGACTTATGAATTATTTTATTTATTGGTTTTTAATTCATTACTCTCACAATTTATGTTGATGTTCATATTGTCCCAGATTTGACTCCTGGGAATTTCCGTGTCCCTTTGGACAAATAGTCAAGACTCTTTGAACATTTCCTTCCTTTATGACACGAGAAGATGATTTAGGCCCGTTCTGTACTTTTTCTGCCTTAGTAATGGATTCGGCTAATTTCTGGTTCAGCTGGCTTATTTTTATGGTAGAGTCTCAGAGTTAGGACCACACAAGAGATGGTGAGATGTGTGCTGTCAGCGGAGATAGCGGAGTGGACTGCTAGTTTGCTTGGAAGGACTGTGGCTAGGTGTACCGGTCACACGCAGAATATATTCAAAATATTTTTTTCCAGCCCCAAGACCTACTGGGTAACAGAGCAAGATCCCATATAGCTGACCGCACAGCTAAGAATACCTGCTTCAGTGGTTTGAAAAACATACTGGGTGCCTTTGTGTGCATGCCCCAAATCTCAACAGGCTGGAGAAATGGAGGAAAGGGGATTGCGGCATGACCATACCCCACTGGGAGGTGTTTTCCCCCTGGATATGTGTCATATCCAGCTCCCTACTGGTTTCTTTGGTCTTCTATACTCCATTTTCTACAAAGTAACTTAACCTCCAGGATAACGTCCAAATCCCTGAGTTTGGTTATACCATACCAAACCGGACCCGTGACTTTGCTCTCGCTGTCCCCAAACAGTACCTTGGTACACATGGCTGTTCTTTGGGTAGCTGGTGTTCTCTTCCTTGCTTGTCTCATCAGTGGACTTCAAAGTGTCCTCGTAGAGTTTGTTCAAGTTTTGTCCCTTCTGGAGACTCTGCCTGACTTCTCAGGTGGTCGTACTCGCTCTGCTCTTCCCTGAGTGGATAGTTCTAGACCTGCAGATGAGCAGAATCTGCAGGCATGGGGGTTTTTTCAAAGTCCACAGTTCAGTTTCACCCTAGCTTACCCAGATTCTATAATTTGGGATAAGGCTCTTGAGATCTGTGGGTTTTAGGTTGGCATTTTAATAAAGAGTCAGAGTTAGGGCTATTGGTGTATGTGGGGTCTTCCAAAAGTTTATGGGAATTAGGTACTATGAAAATCGTGCATGAATTTCAAAAGCCTTTTTTTGCACTGAATAAAATCATATGTAGGGAACCAGCAGTTAGCGTAATGACTATGTCGCTGGACTCCCACATAGTCGACCGCGTTTTGCGTCTAGGACCTAGTGGCTTAAAACTCACGCCGGGCGCATGTGCATGCGTGCCCAGGATCCTGAGAGAAGAATGGAGGAGAAGGGATTGCAGCGTGGCCATCCCCCCAGGGGTGATTCCTTCCTTTCTGTTTCTCTCTTTCTGGCGAGCACATGTGCCCTCTGTCAAAAACCCCTCCAAAAACAAAGATAGATGGGGGAACAGCAGTTACCGTAATGGCTATGTCGCTGGACTCCCATGTGGTCGACCACGGTTCAAGTCCCAGACCCGGTGGCTTAAACTCACGCTGGGTGTGTGTGTGTGCGTGCCCAAGATCCTGAGAGGAGAATGGAGGAGAAGGGATTGCGGCATGGCCATCCCCCCTGGGGGGTGATTTCTCGTTTTCTGTCTCTCTGTCTCTCTTTGTCTGGCAAGTGCGTGCGCCTTATAGCAAAAACCTCTCCAAAAAAAAAGAAAAAACAATCTAGACCATGCTAATAGGGACCGCACTTGAAAACCTCTGCTCTGTAGAAGATGGGTCATTGGTGAGCTGGAGTATTTTCCCTTAGCTCTACAGATACCTGAAGAATCAAGAGGCAGATTCCGTGCATAGCCCATGACCGCCTTACCCCATCTTATTGTAATTCTCCGTTACAAACACAGGTCCCTCACCCCAGCTGTGAATCCATGGGGGAATTGAACTAGTGGATGTAGTAATGACTTTATATTCTTGTTTTCATGGTTAAAGGGCTGCTGCCATTGCCCTGTGGCTTCTAACTGGAGTAAGGTTCTGTAGCTTTTTCAGAAAGGCAAAAAGACTGTAGGGCAGGGGTTCTGGCTAATGTGATGTTGCCACAGCTTGGGTGGAAAGATGCCATTGGCTTGCTGGGAGGGATCCTGCAGTGCCCGCCAGCCATCCTGCAATGCCCAGGACACTGACTGCCACAGAGACTTACCTGACCCCAAATGTCAGTGGTGCAGAAGCCGAGAATCCTGCTTGAGGGAAGTGGGCTGTCAGAGTGCCTCCCCCGGTTCCTGCGCCTGGACTCCTCCTTGACCCTGAGCACCTCCCTGTTTTCCACCCTGCCCTGCTAGAGCCTCTCCAAGGAAAATTCACCGGTGATTAATAATTTGCCAAGCTAGAAGTGCTTTAAAATATATTATTTTTTCAACAATAAATGACTGATTTGAGTGGAGCATTTGCTAATGATTTACCGACCTCAAGTGACCTGCACATTTCCCCTACCTCTGTAGGCGTTAAAGAAGCTTGCTGTGTTTAGAAGCTAGGCGATCTCCTTGGCTGGAGAGGGCCATGAACTCATTTATCCACTAGAGTTTCAAGTGGCTTGTTAGGTGCCCAACCCTGTGGCCACCACAGAAAGACTGGGGAGTTTTTGTTCTGGAAGACAGTGACAAACTAAATAAATAAGGTGTGTGTGTGTGTGTGTGTGTGTTTTAAATCTCAACAAGTAGATTGTAGTAAGTGGGTAAACAAATTTAACCACCAAGCCCAGTGGCATGGTCGTTAAGGCAGCTGGATCGCACAGGACGAACTACATGGTCTGAGTCCTGGATCTGGCAGCTTGAAAAACATGCCAAGCTGGGAACCAGCAGTTAGCGTAATGGCTATGTCGCTGGACTCCCATGTAGTCGACCGCGGTTCACGTCCCGGACCCGGTGGCTTAGAACTCAACGCCGGGCGCATGTGCGTGTGTGCCCAAGATCCCGAGAGGAGAATGGAGGAGAAGGGATTGTGGCGTGACCATCCCCCCTGGGGGGTGATTTCTTGCTTTCTGTCTCTATGTCTCTCTCTGTCTGTCTGGCGAGCGCACACTCCCTATAGTGAAAATCTCTCAAAAAAAAAGAAAAGAAAAAAAAGAATAAAAAACATGCCAAGCGCAGGTCTGTGTGTGCTGAAAATCCTGGAAGGAGGGAGAAACGGAGAAGAGGTTGTGGTGTGACCATTCCTCTTGGGAGGTGCTTTCTCTCTTTCCATTTCTCTCTATGGTGTCTCTCTTCAGTGAGCACACATGCCCTCTAACAAGTTAAAAAAAAGTGAGAGGGAAAGAAGAAATGAGACAGATAATGGGAGTAAGTTTGATTTTTACAAAGAGTGGGTAGGCCCTTCTGGGAGGAGAAGAGAACATGGAAAAGACCATGTATCGTCAACAAGGGGAATGGGCAAAAGGAAGCATGAGTGGGTGTCAGACCAGCATGGCTAGAACATTGAACAAGGAGGGTGGAGTGGCAGGGACTCCATCATCCATGACATGCCGTGAGGCATCTCAGCGCTGTTGTACTGCAGGAGAGCAGCGTAGCTTTTCCGTGGAAAGACTGTAGGGTGACCAAGAGTGACTGTAGGCAGGTCAGCCAGCAGGCTGTGGGAGAACTAGGAATCTGTGGTCTCCTCGGCCACTGTGATGAGGGCGAGGAGGCAGACACATGGACGAAGCTGGACTGGGTTATAGAGGGAGAGGTTTGGGGGGGATGGGAAAAAGAGGCCTCGGTGGGGCTGACAGTCCCAGAGATGGGGAAGAGAAATTTGGAAGCAAAAGTCCAGCGTTCCGTGATGGACGTTAAAGTTGAGATGCCTGTTGGCGTTTGGGGGTGAGTCCTGGCTGGAGTCTATGGTTGGGAGCTGTTTGCACATAGCTGATGTTGAGAGGCAGGAGTCTGACAGATAACCACAGGGAAGGCTGGAGGCCCAGTTCAGTTAGACTGCAACGGGCCAGAGGGGCAGAGTACAAAGAAGAGAGTGGGAGGTCACAACCCTGGATCATGGATCGTGATTACTGAGCACAGCCTTCAGTGGGGATAGCCAGGGTCTAAAAGCCCATCTTGAATGTATTCAAATTGAGCTACAAATAGAGAGGAAGGAAAGTTCCAGAAGTGACGAGAACAAGAGGATGGACAGCTGGCAGTTGGTACCCTTGTTCTGTATGGGAAAATCACCCAGGGTGATGCTGAGTCGGGGTGAAGAGGATGCCTGATCCAGCAACGAACAACCCAGGGTCATTGATGGATGATGGTCAGGGGCAGAAGGTTTAGTTTGCTGGACTCAGTAGCTGAGCCGTGGCTTTTGGAGTTATCAGGGGTGTTTACAGCTAAGGACATGGAAAAAGGGAACTAGGGAGATTAGAGGCTAGAAGGCTGCTCGAGGGGGAAGCTGTTTCCCTAGCAATTGGCCAGGTCCTTGGGAAACCAAGGCCAAGGGCACAAGGGAGTTCACTGATCATAGGGGTGGTTCATGGGAAGGTTTGGAATGGGATGAAAGTGTGGGTGTAGGGATGAACTGCGGGTGCTGGCATCTGAGTCTAGTTAGGGGGAAAAGGGGACATGAGGCAAGGCAGATGAGACTTGCAGAGTTGTGGATGGTTTGTAGCAGGCGGGCTGTTCTAAGTGGCCTCATGTTGTTGAAGCTTGGCGAGGTTGTTGACATAACCGGACCCTTTCCTGAGGCTCCATCCTTGGGAAAGTGTATTCACGGTGTCCAGAAGTTGTGAGGGGTCTTCAAGTGTTTTATAGAAAATGTGCATTAGGAAAAAGCTATTCATGGGTTTTCTTTTTTTTTTTTTTTCTCTCTCATCAAAATAAACTTGTGCTTTAATCCCACTTTTCTATGAACTTTTTTAAGTCGGTTAGTTTAAGGGCAGAGGCATTGTCTCCTCAGCTTCTCCCCGAGACCCGGGAAGAGGGGTTGTGAAGGAGTACCCCAGGAGGTGTGTTAGTGTCACTTGCAGCAGCCCCACCAGCATGAGGTTTCTTCACCAGTTCCTCTTATTCAGCGTTGATTTTCTTTAACTGTCACAATTTGCTCACTCTTCCGTGCTGCTTCTGTGACCTTCTGTACTCCTGGGACACTCCTGATCCCTCCTTGGTGTGGCCCTAGCGCTCAGGTGGGTGGCTTTCTGGGTGGAGGGAACAGCTTGCACTGCTTTTAGTCATTTTACATTTCACTTCCTCATCACTTTATGGGAAACAAGAAGCACAGGAGTAGCAGCCCAGTGTGAGTGGTATAGGAGGAAGCCCTCAACAGACGAAGCCTCCTGCCAGCTGTAAGTGCCGATTCATGTTATGGTCTATGCCACGTGGCTTAGATGCTTATCGAGCTCGACTGACCCAGGAACTGCGCTGAGCACGGACAGTGCAAAGATGACAGTGAGGCCGTCCCACCCATGGGCATCCCCTCGTCTGCGAGAGAGACACTGTCGGTGCTAGGGCAGTGTATGCACAGCGGAAGGCTGTCTGTGCCATTTGCAGACTCAACTTATTACTGCAACAGGAAATCAGCTGACGATTTTTTCACTGCTATGTCTGTTTGTCTGTCTGTCTTTTAAAAAAAGATTTTCTGCCATAGGGTGCATGTGCTCGCGCAGAGACAGAGAAAGTGAGAAATCACCCCCCCGCCACACACACACACACACACACACACACACACCTCCCCAGGGGAATGGCCATGCTGCTGTCTCTTCTCCTCTATTCTTTTCTTGGGATTTTAGGCATGCATGCCCATGTGCCCAGTGTGATTTCCTGCTGGGTCCAGGACTCTAATCACAGTTGGCCGTGTGGAAGTCCAGAGCTTAATCACTGTGTCACCTTCTGGTTTCTCCCCCCCTTTGTAAAATTACAAATACTGTGATAAGGTACACAAGAAACACATTTACCATGCTCACTACCTGAAGTGTCCAGTTCAGGCATTAATTATATCATTTCTTTGGGCAGCCATGACCACCCTCCATCCACAGAACTCTTTTCATTTGAGGATTCAAACCTCCGTACCCATTAAACAGCAGCTCCCCATTGCCCCTTCCCCTATTCCTACAACCATAGCACCTCATGTAAGTGGAATCACTGTATGTCTTTTCATGACTGGCTTTTATTCTTTTCTCTTTTTTTTTTGGCTATTGGGTACATGCACTTGCCAGAGAGTGACAGAGAGAGGTCAGGAAAAAGAGAGGGAAGTTGAGAAATCTTCCCCCCACCCCATGGCCACATTGTAATCCCTTCTCCCGGACTCTCCTCTTGAGAATTTGGGCATGTGTGCTCACACACCTATCATCTTTTTTTTTTTTTTTTAAAGACATATTTTTGCTATAGGGCATGTGTGCTTGCCAAAAAGAGAAAGAGAAATCATCCCCTAGGTGGCATCGCCATGCTGCAGTCTCTTTTCTTCCACTCTCGGGGTTTTGGGCATGCACATGCACCCAGCGTGAGTTTCAAGCCACCGGGTCTGGAACAACAACCACGCTCAGCCATGTGGGAGTCCAAC